ATATACGTATATATATATATATACTCTATATGTGTATATACATATATATATATATACACACATAGAGTAATAAGCATAAGAAAGGATTGCATGGAGTTAAAAACAATTAGATTTCTATTTATTAGATTCTTTACAGGACATGTTAGAAAGTACACCTCTGAAGAAACTTCCACTTTGGCAGGCACATGATTATTTTTCTCAGTTGTTGGATGGCTTAGAGTACCTTTACAGTAAAGGAATAGTACATAAAGACATTAAACCTGGAAATTTGTTATTAACATTAGATAATACTTTAAAAATTAGTGACTTTGGAGTTGCAGAGGTACGCATTTTATATAAAAACTTCTTTCATGTATTTGTATAATATGTAAAATTAATGATAATTAATTATATTTCTTATTTTGCTTCATATATTTTAATCAAATAATTTTTCTTATATTGTGCAAGGCGCTAGATATGTTTTCTATAGATGATACATGCAAAATGGGACAAGGTTCGCCAGCTTTTCAACCACCCGAAATTGCAAATGGCTGTGAAACATTTTCAGGATTTAAAGTAGATATATGGAGCAGCGGAGTTACATTGTGAGTATTATAACGTGTGATTAATTGAAATATTAATGAAATAATAATATGTAGTTTATTTTCATTTTGTATAGATATAATATAACAACAGGTCAGTATCCATTTGAAGGAGACACCATATATAAATTATATGAAAACATTGGTAAAGGTGAATATACAATACCAGAAGAAGTAGAGGAACCTTTGAGATCTCTTATAGAAGGCATGCTACAAAAAGACGCAAGAAATAGATTTACATTGCAACAAGTTAAAAGACATTCTTGGACTATATGTAGGCATTCTAGAACGGAAGATGAAGTGCCTTTACCTCCCTTAAGGGGAAGTAAATGCCATAGTATGACTGTATTACCGTACCTGATGGAATATCACTATGGAGTTGACGACAATCCTACATATTATACGGAACATCAACTTAATGGTATGTTAAAGATACATATCTTTAAATAGCATGTTATCTGTTCTTAAATACACACATAGAAATTTGTATAATGTAGATATTTTCTTTTTTTTGCCATTCTTACCTTCTTATCTTTCAATGTATGATTCATTTATTTTTGTGTTCTTAGACACTATAAATAAATGTTTATAAATATACATTGGAACGTATTATTATTTTTTTAGAGGAAAGAAGACTTCTAGAAATGGATAGGACTAGTGAAGATCAAAAGCCAACTTGTAACAGTCATTGCAACAATAAATCAAATACGCATAGTAAAAGAAGATGGCGCAAACCGATTTCTTGTATTGGCATTAAGAAATTTCCATCTTGCAAACCTTCGTGATCTGGTTACAATACTGGCACAATACTGTTTTATGGTATTAAATATTTTACTGATAGTTACAAAGTTTCTCTACGGAAGAGATGACTGAGTGTTTGACAGAGCAACACTTTTGAATTCATTCAAAAGCACATAAATGTAAACATTTGTGATATTAATATTAAATAGTTATATCGAGTGGTCCACAATACGCTATTGTGATTGTGGATTAAATTATTTCTAATTTTTAAGAAGAAAGTATAGTTTGTTTTTGTGTGTCATAATGATGAAATGAAATATGTGTAATAAGATTGCCTTTAACTATGATACATATTAGAATTTGTTTCTATATTTAATTTTGTAAATTAAGATCATGTATAACTAAGCGAAGTGATAATAGTCGGCTCGTATTGTCTCTATTAATTGAGATGTGCTAATTCTGGTGTGACGGACTTTTTAGATTCTTATTTATACTATATATCATTTTTTTTTTGAGAAAAAGTAATATAAAATAGTTTATAATCAAGAAGGAGCAAGTCAGTTTTAAATAAAACAATTGTTGCTCCTCGATTATAACACATATATATATATATATATATTTATATTTACATTAACTTGTAAATATAGAATGAAGAAGGAACGAGATAAAAAGAGACAAGAAAGAAAGGTTCAATATTTATAAATAAAAAATAAAATAAAAAAAAGAAGTAAAAGAAAATCTACAATTTTATCTTATATATATCGTTCATATAATTATACTTAAATTATGACGCCAGCATGACTAGGATACGTAGTATTTTTTTAATTGAGATGATTTTTTTCTACTTTATATTATCTTAGTTGAATATATTAGTGTAAATATGGAGTAAAGTTATTCGTAATCACAAATGCAATCTTAAGGGAAGTTTGTATCTGCTTGAATCATATACTATATGTATATTATAACGATAATATATTCCATCTTCAATGGTAGAAAGTGATTGTTATGCCAAGTCAAATTTATTAAAAATGAAAAGTTATAAAGCTTTCTAGCTATGGCTACCTTTAACCTGATACAATAGGATGTTATAAAAAGCAAAATAAATAATTTTTTATATTTATATATTGGTAAGTTTACAAGAGTTTATTATTATATTATGTATAACTCACATAATTCAACTCATGATAAATGCAGATACTGTTTCCCCTTAAAGAATTTTATAGTTATAATTGAATAAGTATTAAACATGATTTAAAGTGTATATGATGTATATATAAAGAGTATCTATAAACTTGTCTCGGTCGTATACAGTACCAATATTACATGGAATACATTATATAAATTGAAAACATAAATGCATTACCTGTAACGAGGGATGATTGAAAACTTTTGAGCTTCGATTAAATAAAACTTTTATTTATTTATTTATTTTCTGTTAATAAAAGAGAGTTTAATTGAAAAAACAACATTGTTTCTATTAGTTTCATCTATTTTATTAAATATCATATTCCAAATTAGAATATAATTGTATTTAAATGTGTATACGTACTGGGACATAAATTTGGAGATACTTTTTGTTGGTGATGTGTGTAAATAATTGATTTATATAATAACAAAAAAATATAATTTTCTTTTTTTTTTTTCTTTTTCCATTGACATTATAGATTTATAATTTAATATTATCGAAATAATTAATATATAAGAGAAAAAGAAAGAAAAGAAAATAATAGGAAACTAAACAAAAAATCAGAATTATGTTAAAAAAGATTTAAAAAATTTATATGTTACATATTGTGTGAGATAAAGAGAAAAGAAAAGAAAAATAATAATCATTATCTATAAATAAAAAACTAATTTGTTTTTGCCCAAAATATAATCTTTATCGTTTAAACAATGGAGGACACGTTAAGTAACTTGATGTATAATTTCTATTACAAAATGAACGAAATTGATTTTAATTAAAATTATTTAACATGTTATATATGTAATTAGAATGTAAGATCGAAATATTAGAGTTTTGTAATTAATCTTTTCTATTAAGGAATTCAGATGCCTAAATGTCACATTAAAAATAGAATTATGCAGTGTAGATGAAAATAATTTTGATTATAGACACGATATATGAAAATTATAAATGACAGAACTTTTTTTCTTTTTTTATTTTGTTCGCGTCTGCAAAAAATACTCTGTGGATGCAAGATTTAATAAGCATATTAAATGTTTATAATAATAACAACTTGTCAACCTTGCATATCATAGGAAAATAATTATTAATTCTATAAATATATAATATATATATATATATACTTATATAATTAWTATATATATATAAATAATATATCCCTGTATAAAAGGAAATGTATGGAATATTTAGAGAGTATATATACATATATATTTTTTTTGTAATAAATAAAATGTACTCTTATTTGCTCGTATGTGCTATTAAAGTAGTGATAAATAGCTCATCGTAAGAATTATAATCGTATTCTTTAAAGAAACCATATATATACAAGAATGGGTTGAAAAGTTTTGAGACTCAAAAAACTTTCTTTTTTTAAATAGATGAATTTGAAAAAATATTGTTTTTCGGTTCAAAACTTTTCAACCCTTTCGCGTATTATATATAATATATACTTATATATAGAACGAATTATATTAAATAAGAAAATATTTCTTTTTTTAATTGAAATATTATTGAAATAATTAAATTTTACGTACGTGTTAAAGCATATGATATATATATATATAAAATAATAGCATAAACAGCCATATCTACACTGCACAATTCCTTTTGCGATATAACATCGAAATATTAATTAATTAAGCGTGTTTATGCTATTTTAATAATATTACATATCAATTATATATTCATTTATATGTAAAATTGCTTACCGATAGTGCAAATGTTTAAAATAACATAACGGCATAATAGTTACGATACCATTGAATTATATTATCTAAAATCTGCTTGTATTCGTTATTATATACATTTGTCAGATTATTTTGAATTATGCACAAAATGTTGTAAAGATTAATATTTGTTTCTTCTTATTTTTTTGTTTGTTTTTTTTTCAATATTAATGAAAATTTATTTAGGAATAGGATTATTATAAGATAGGACACAATTTGTTTCTGTATTATATCATGTTCTATCGGCTGCGTGTATTATAGCGATTATTGTTGTACATATGTATGTATAAGTTTGTATCTTAGAAAAAAAAAAACAGATATTTAAAAATCATTTATAGATGTACTAACGTATTAGCAAAATTGTGAATATACTGCCATTCAGCCTTGTTCACATGTTGTTTTAATCGTATAAATATAATTGAACAGAGAAATATTAATATTAAAAATTCTAAATTACTATTAAAATGGATATTATTTTGAAGACTTTCGTAATTATTTATTAATCAGTATATGTGTTACCGGCAATATATGAGAAGCAGTTATCATATAAAACAACAAATGCAATTAAGGGGCAAAGTATTAAAAAAAAATAAAAGCTATAAGACTTTTATTGAGAAAAACAACTTCATCAAATTCATGAGATATAAATTGTTTACGGCTTAGGATTTAGGTGATCCTTTTTTGTTGCTTGGGCCGCTACTGCGATTAAATGCATTCCACAAATAGAAAGAAATCTTCACACAGGTAATCGATACCTTTACCTATATTTCATCGCAACTAAAATCTATTCCTGAAAAACTTAAATCTTAAATAATCTCTATGCTGAACAAAATTCAAACTAACGTGGTTGCGTTGTTTCCTAATAAAAATTGAAATGCAAATGAAGGAATTTTGCATCTGAAGTCGTGTGCATTGCCACGTGACGTTAGAAATGTCATCGGCGGTGGGAATATTTTATACTTTGCCGGTTTGTTGTGCTTAGAAAAAAACAAAAATATCTGTAAAATATTAATCATATCATGTTTGTTTTTTTTTTTCGCCAAAAATGGTAATTTCCATTCCATATATCGTCGGTAAAATATATCTCATAACATATGTACATAGTCTGTCTATCATCTGCCAGATATTCCAACGAAAAGTAAATTTATAAGTAGGAAAGTATGATGGACAAGGAGGTAACTCGATCTTCTCATACGACTATCGTTCCTACATTATTGAAAGCAGTTTTACTGTATGACGTCAGATATAACATCAGAAAGAAAGAGAGAGATAGGCGCGTTATTTAATTCAATAGCTTAAGCATTTATCATGCAACGATCTCACTTTTCACTGCACATCTGCCTGATGATATATCTGTGTATATATATATATAT